AAGGGCATATTGTTTGCTACCATGGATGAGTTGAAAACATGGTTGCAAGAGTACTCCATTGTACACAACCGACCTTTTAGGGTCATCAATTCATTCAAGGAGAAGAGGTACATTGTTGCTTGTGAAGAACAACAGTGTGGGTGGAGAGTATGTGCTAGGAAGACGAAGGCAGGCAAATGGAAGATTACCTCAATGAAGCAACCACATGTTTGTGCCACTGCTGAGGTAGAAGAGAACCATCTGCAGCTCAAATCTAGGTTCATTGCAAGGCAGTTATGCCCTGTGGTGAAGCATATGCCAACCATTACGGTGTCCACATTGGTTGAGATCATCTTCCAACGGTACAATTACTATGTCAAGTATGGAAAAGTATGGAGGGCAAAGCAGCGTGCACTGGAAATAATATTTGGAAATTGGGAAGAAGCTTATGAGCGCCTCCCTGTAATGTTGAACGCAATGAGGGCTATAAATCCTGGGATGCACTTCGAGTATTTACCTAAGGAGGGTGAAACAAGGAATGGTAGCCAGGTATTTGGAAGGGCCTTTTGGGCGTTCGGGCAGAGCATCGAAGCATTCAAGTATTGCAGGCCCGTCGTCTCAATTGACGGGACCTTTCTTATAGGGAAATTTGAAGGCACAATGCTTGTTTGTATTGGGACAGATGCAGAAGACCAGCTTGTGCCATTGGCCTTTGCGATTGTTTAGAAGGAGGACACGGATAATTGGTGTTGGTTTCTCAGGCTAGTAAGACAAGTGGTAATTGGTCTGGGACGTGATGTTTTTTGTGATATCCGATAGGCATGCTGGCATTCTGAATGTCGTAGAACAAGAGATTCCTGGTTACAGCCAAATACATCACCGGTGGTGCACTAGACACCTTGCTCAGAATCTTATAAGGCGTGATCACACAAAGGACAACTTCAAATTATTTGAGGAGGTTTGCAGGCAGCAAGAGGTTCAATTATTCAAAGACAAGCTAGATGCCCTGAAGTTAGCCACAAATGTTGATGGCAGGCAATTCTTGAGCGAGTTGATGGCGTCGAAGGATAAGTGGTCACTTGCATATGACACCGGAGGTTGGAGATGGGGCTTCATGACTAGTAACATGGCAAAGATGTTCAATAGCCTTCTAAGAGGTTGTCGTGGTCTGCCTGTGACTGCTATTGCCTTATTCACCTTCTACAAGTTGAATGCTTGGTTCGTTTCGAGGAAGAAGCATGCGAGGTCTCTATGGACAGCAGGCAAAGCTTGGCCACTTTTAGCATCTCAGGAACTAGCTTTCTCAAAGAAAAAGTCTAAACAGCAGAAGGGTTCATGTTTCAATCCGATCAACTATGGATATGAGATTCTAGAGGGTGGTGGAACTAACATTGGTGGTGAAGACCGGGGTGCTCGAAAACATAAAGTAGTGATCAATGAGAACAAGTGTACGTGTGGAAAACCAACCATATACCATAGGCCTTGCTCCCACATGATTACAGCCTGTCGCCTTAGACGTGTTGACGTTGAGGTCCCTCCCCGTATGGCCGCGGAGTTCTCTTTGAGGAACCTAATGAGCAACTGAAATCCTCAGTTCGAGCCATTTCTTGACGAGAGTCAATGGCCTACTTATGATGGCCCCAAGTATGTGGCTGATCTTGGTTTACTCTGGAAGAGTAGAGGACCTAGGCGGTGGAAGCAGTTCAGGATGGACATGGACCGAGCCACGAAAGGTAGATCAACCATGAGTAAGGTTGGGACACATTTTGTAGAGGACACCCAAAAGAGTCGTTGCTCTGGTTGCCATAAGACGGGCCACAATAAGAGAAAATGTCCTGAACTACTTAGACAACAGGTATCCACCAAGCTAGCTACTTGAATTGCTTTGTGTAATAGTGCATTGGTTTACTTTTGTTTTTATATTGTTATGTTACTTCGTACCACATATACATGCTTTAACTTATACTAATGCTTTGGCATTCCTTATGTTGCAGGATGGATCGGTTCCCCCTTCTTGATCCAAGGTTCGATGAGCACCACCGGGCTCGGAGGATCGAGAACGGAGAGGTATATTCAATAATTTGTATGAAATAGTGCATTGTTCATCTTTTGCTCTATAGTCCATGCTCTTTATAAAGTGACATGAACTAATACTTTTTCATGCTTGTCTTTTTTTTGCAGGTTTTGAATGTGTTGAGGCCAATGACATATGAGGCCTCTACGACCATGGTCTACGAGGAGAGGTACACGCCCCTCTTGAAGCTGGCGAACCTTGCTACCGTTGCTCGTGTTTGTCGTCGAGGCACGCCACCTTTCAACCTAGCGGCGCTGACGGCGTTGATAGATCGGTGGCGTCCGGAGACACACAGCTTTCACCTACCGTGCGGGGAGATGACGGTCACTCTCAAGGACGTTGCCATGATCCTTGGAGTCAAAATCCAAGGATTCCCAATGACAGGAGACACGGAGTCTGAAGGATGGCAGCAGCGGGTTGAGCACTTCTTGGGACGTCCCCTAGCGGCAGTTGAGGCTGGCAAGAAACGGGCGCAGCAGATGGGGTGTCCCCGAGGTGGCTTCACAAGCCGATTTCGGGAGTGCCCACCCAACATAGACGCCCAGACCGTGGCATACTACTGTTGGGCCTCACGCCCCGCACATGTTTGATGCAGTTCTCTTCCCCGACGGCACTAGAGACACGGCGTCTGGATGTACATCCCGTGCCTTTGGGAACCGGGAGGATGCGGCAATAGGAGTTGGGGCTCGGCTATACTTGCCTTCTGTACCATCACTTTATGCGAGGCTTTGCCCGTCCTAGAGGCGCCTTGACGCTACAATGTCGAGGTACATCACACATTGCGGTGTAATAAAGCAAAGTTGTACAAGTTTCCACTACAATTCAATGTTTTTCTTAACAAAAGTGATTAACATGCAAGTTTCCACTCTTTTTGCAGATTTGGATGTGGAGAGGCTTCCAGTTGGGAGACCGCATCGCTTGATCCCCACAACCTTGGTTTTCTCAAGGAGACGCAGTTGTCGCCCTACTGTGGCACAATTTCTACGAAAGCGAGCCCACGGAACTTACCACGTGTCACGCCATGCGTACATCAGCTTCACCAACGAGCTGGACACCCTTTTGCCACAGCATGTAAGTTTCCCACCCTTTTGGCCTAATCGAGGATATGTGCACAAATTGAGCGTCGACTAGTTGATGACGACATTGTGTACAGGTTGAATGGCGCCCATATCGGCGGAGGCAAGTCACGGATCTCAACTTGAGCTCCTTGTGCACGGCAGACAAGGACGTCTGGACGATAAGGACCCCCCTTATTTGTTTCTATGCAGTGGAGTACCATCTCCCTCACCGTGTAGCACGACAGTTTGGTAGGCTGCAGCCTTCTCCGCCCGAGGAATTCTCCACCAGTTGGCAGCTCCACAAGTACGTAACATGCAATATTTTGTTCGTTTCACATGAATGAATCATTGAGTAGGCCTTCATATTGCCGCTATGGTGTAAAATTTGCAGGTTCAGCAGACAAAAAAGAAGAAGATCACCAACTGGCAGCTGGAGCACCAGCGCTACATTGATGAGTGGATGTTGATGGAGCAGAACAACATGGGCATCCACGCCGTCCATCGTGACAAGGCATTCGATGATTACCTTGTTTGGCTTGGTCAACGAACAAGGCTTCAATTGAGGCCCGCTTGGACGGAGCAAGACATTGCTGACATTGCGAGCGAGGATGAGGGCAACAACCCATATGACCAAGCTACCCGAGAAGGTAGGCAAGTTGAGATCGCTTCCTGCGTTAGCGAAATGTAAGTGATACAACTATTTCCATCTCTCGAGGTCTTTCTTGTGATGGAGACTTAAATTCTTGTTTTTGTTGCATAGAGCACGGAGATAATGAGGACAGTGGCCGAGCAAGGAAGAGCATTGATGATTCCTGTGGGCGATCCTGATGAGGCATCCATGTTACGACAGCACATTCAGGTAGTCTCCTGTCATTCAATTGATGTTACATCTTTATATAGTTTTGCGACCAACCCCACTTACTAATAGTGCTTTCAAAATGCAGCGTGCCATGCATCGCCTCCGAAAGGTAGCTGCACGCCTTGGATGTAGACGTGCCCCGGATGTGGCAGTCCCACAACAGCTTGGTGCTGGACCTTCTACTGCACATGTTGGAGGGACTTCATCTTCACATGGTGCACATGTTGGCGGGACATCGCTTCAAGGGTCCAGACCTCGGCGTTGAGTCGGGCCGCGCCGAGTCTGGTGTCTCGGCGTTAAGTGACCCCGCGCCGAGCTATTGGGCCACGAAGCGTTGTTGGGACGTCTGGGCCGCGCGTCGGATGGCGCCAATAGCTCGGCGTGTAGTCCCACCGCGCCGAGGAGTTGAGCTCATGGCGTTATCGACACAACGCCGACGTGTCGGATTTATGCGCCACCGTGTCGCCGTCGACCGGGGTCGTCCGTGACGTGGCAAGACCTCGGCGTCGTGTCAGTCGACGCCGACCCTCATACCTTGGCGTCATGTTCTAAGACGCCTAAAAATGGTCTATTTTCAGCAAACGTTTTGGCATAGGTCTTTTTGTAAAAAATGTTTTCAAAAGAGACCAAAATGCAAAATTTTCACGATATGCAGTGCCACACAAAACACATGCATGCAAAACAGGGGCAAGAGCCAGCCAAAAAAGCCTATGAACAAACAGGAAACATGCATGCATGTCCCCAGTCCCAGAAGACACGGTCAAACCATTCCATGTATAGCTTGAGGCTACGACTCCGCGCCAGCTGTCGAGACCGTCAGCAAAGACGGGCCGGATCGGAAGCCACATGCATGGCAGTTAGCTGAATCACAAGGGAGACGTACGTGCGTGCTCTTCTTGCATGCTTGCCGGCGACGAAGGAAACCCCGTCGTCCTGCGCTGATTAGAACAGAGAAGGTCGTTGACGTCGTCGTCGTCATCGTCGTCGGTGAATCGAAGAAGAGGAGCTGCCTGCAGGTGAGATCGAGCAGATGTCTTCGCTGCCAGGAGGCTTCCTGTCCGTGCGCGTCCTGCGAGGGATCAACCTTGTCAGCTGCGACGCCAAGGGCAGTGACCCCTACGTCGTGCTCAGCCTGGATGGTCAGGTAGGTCGTCGTCGTCTGCACAGCCATTGCTGCTAGCTGCTCTTCTGATTCTTGTCTGTCCTTGTCATCGTCGTCCCTTCACCTCTCTTCATTGTTCATCAGAAACTGAAGACGAGTGTGATGAAGAAGACGGTGAACCCGGTGTGGAACGAGGATCTGACCTTGGCTGTCATGGACGCGTCAGCACCCATCAAGCTAGTGAGCATCGATCGATCCATCATCTGCATAATTGTCACTCTTCTTCAATTCACCGTCTCGGATTCCTGCATGTACAGGAGGTTTTCGACAAGGACACGTTCAGCAAGGACGACTTGATGGGAGACGCGGAGTTCGACATCGAGGCGCTGGTGCAGATCATACAGATGGACCTGGAGGACATCCGCAGCGGCACCGTCGTCCGCTCCGTGCGCCCCGGCGGCAAGGACAGCTGCCTGGCCGACGAGAGCCACATCATCTGGGACAACGGCCAGGTCGTGCAGGACCTCCTCCTCAAGCTCAGGAACGTCGACACCGGCGTCGTCCACCTGCAGCTCAAATGGGTCACCATCCCAGGTAGTAAATTAATTAAACACGATTGCATGCAATTGTAAATTAAACACCAGTGCTAACGAATTTCCCTTTCCGTACGTCGTCGTCAGGCTGAAGAAAGTGAACTGCAGTGCTCGCCATGAATTCGCGTGATAAGCAGTACTATATGCAAAGTTACCATGTTGAAGATGTCATTGTATTTTAGTATAGCCACGTACATTGTCAGTTGTCTCTATAACTTTTGACATGGAATTAATTAATTTCTCAAACAGTCAATTTGCATGACCAAAAAATGTTTAATAACAGATTCTTTTGTCTAAAAAAAGAGAAATGTTTAACAGATTCAGTTTGGTATATTGCAGTTGCACATGTGGTTTCCAGTGGGAGCATTTGGGAGGGAGATAAGCAACATCCATACTCCTAAATATTAATACTGTCAAATTTTGTTTTATTTCATTGTATCTCTGTGTTTGATCAGCACCCTGTTTTCATATGTAACCGTACATGACCTGCTATCGGTACATGTGATTAATTTACTCTATGTGATGATTAATTTGTACGCACACAAACTACTTTTTTTAAGAAAGACGGTGATAGCGCCCGGATGTCCGGACAGGCGCCCGCGTGCTGCACTCCATTCCGCACGCACCACATGGGCCCGCACTGCCCGAGCGACAAGAGGGGAAGGGGGCGGTGCCCTGCCGGCGCCGGGAGGAGGACACACCGAGACGATGCAGCAGAAGGCGATGAGAAGAGATGCGACACCCGATCATCTTTTGAAACATCCAAATACAACAGTTGCAACATACGTCTGAATGTAGATGAAACACTTCACACATACTTCTAAAACACTTGAAAAAAAATACCTGAAAACACTTGAAAACCATTGCAACCATACACAACATCTAGATAAAATACATGCAATGTATGTGTAAAACATATGCAACATCTAGATAAACACACTTGCAACATGCATCCAGAAAACACAGATGAAACATTGGTAACAGACCTTTGCAACATACGTATACAACCATTGCAACATATGCAACATCCCGATCTACTTTTGCAACATCCATCTGAAACACTTGCAACATACATCTGAAACATCTGAAACACTCAAAACATATGCTTGCAACATGCGCTTTCAGCAAAACATGGCAGTCAAGCAGGCGGAGCATGGCACAGCGGGGTCCCAGCTATGCGATCACAGTGGAGAAGGAGGATGACAGCGGGCGGGTGGCTGTGCGGCCCCCCGTGATAGGGCACACACGGTGCCCGCGGTGGAGGCGACAACAGTAGTCGGGTGGTGTGGCCTCGCGCGGCGAGCGCGCCGCGGCGGTGCGGTCGTGGAGGAGCACTCCGCGGCGGTGCGGGAGTGGCGATGGTGGAGAGGAAGGTCAGCGGGAGGCGCGGTAGAGAGGGAGGTGCGCGGGATCCATCCTAAATAAATACTGCCAGGTGTTGTTTCATTTCAGTATCTGTGTTTGGTCAGCATTCTGTTTTCATATGTAACCATAACCTGCTATCGGTACATGTGATTAATTTACTCTATGTGATGATTAATTTGTAAGAATCCTCCAAAGGGGAGGAAGATCCTACAACCTATTAGGGCTACTTTGGGAACAAGGGGGCAGATTTGCCCTGGGTAGTTAACCCCCCAGGGGGATTTATGCGGCTTGCCATTTCCCTGAGGCCGTTCCCTCTCCTCGTTCTCCCTTCCCTGACGCCATTTGGAAGCAAGACCAAAAGAGATCAGGGTGTGTTACGTCCGCCTGTCTGTGTCAATCTCAAGCCGCTTGTGCTTATGTGTTAGGCTAACATAGTAGAACTATACTGATTGAGTTTGCTTGTTGTAATCTATAAATTGCACAATGTTCTGAACTCCAAATAAAAACTCAATAAGTTCACAAAAATATTCTAAAAACAAAAAAGAAATGAACATACAAAATATGCTAATATTTTAAAACATCTTTCCTTAATCAAATTTATACAAACGTCCATATAACTATTGAAAATACTCCCCCATTGGCCCATCCTGAATACATCAATTCCTAGAATTGTCCTAAGTTAATTTTTTTAAAATTTGACTGAATTTATAGAAAAAATTATAAAACCAAATGAGCACATTATAAAAATATATTTTATAGTAACTAATAATACTAATTCAGTGTCACGATTCTTATCACTCTTTTATATAAATTTGATCAAATTTAAAAAGGTTACTTAAAGACAACTCTATGAATTGATTTAATCATTGACGGAGAGAGTAGCTCCTGATGAACCGATGAGTAACATCTCAGCCGAATAAATGCAACTTTGTTCCTAATTTAGTTCTAGTGCTAACTTAAGAAGGCAGCACAAACTTTAATAACTTATATGAATACATTTGCAAGTTATTTCCAGCAATTGCACGTGTCTTTAGCTTTTAGGTTGACCTCCAGTTTCAAATACCAAGATGTTGCCGACCTTCTGGTGCTGCCTGTTGGCTGTTGTGAACCAAAAAAATTGTTACTGAAATAATCATTAATATGTCATGCATAATCTATCACGTGAGACCCGCTGGACAAAAAAAAATTATTAGTTAAGCTGAAAATAGTGACCAATTGTTATCAAATTAACATGTCCTGTTAATGCAGAAAATCTCAGCACGTAAACAAAACAAGAAACCATACTAACGTCATTTACCAATGAGGTATTCCCCAGATCGATGAAAGCATCCTCACAAGAAAAAAAATAGAAACATATATCTTGCAGGTCATGGACTCATGATAAAGTGCAAATTAAACAGGCTTTGGAAAGCAACAAAAAAAAACGGACATAAAGATGCTCAAAAAAATTCAGGAATACATGACTCTTCACACCACTGTTATCTTGTCAGAAACTTACCCAAGCAAAACTATGGCCTATTACATGCATCTCTTCTATTCTTCTACCTGATTCAAAAGTGATGATTACTAGAAGAATCTAAAGACTGCAGACTGCTATTAAAAAGCAAAACTTACAACTGAATTTAAGTTTAGTCAGCATCCTTGATCCTTCTATTGGTGATCGTCAACAGTTGTGCTATATACATATGATGTGCACTACAAGGCAATAAACCAATCATGATGATCTATCATATATAGAAAATGATTAAAAAAGAATTTTTGACCAACCCAGTCTCTAGAAATATCAAGCCAAACACATTGATGACTAGTAACTGACAGCCAATCGATAGATCAAGTATTGCCCAAAAGGGAAAAATTGATCAGTTAACAGTTTGATGCCTAAACTCTGTCACAATCTAGAAAAGTTGATCAATCCATAGAGTTTAATTAAATGATGCTATACTAATGGTGACTGACTAACTGACTCCAGCGCAATCTAATTTCCTCTGTTAGCTAATCTGAAAGGATATGCACATAATGGGCTCCTTAAAAAATATTAACATTAAAGTAAAGGTTTTGTGGGTGATGTCAATGCCATAATGAAAGGCTGTGAACACCGCTTCTATATAAACTGCTGGAAACACCAATGACAAATGGATAAGATTGCTATGAGGAAAATGAAGGGGCTAAATTCGGTTAAATTAAAAAACAATCTAAAATGAAACATTAAGATTCATAAAGCAAGGGGCTAAGAACCAGCTTACCCATTGATAGATCATGTTGTTTTCTAGAATTGAAAACTGAAGCAGTACCAGGAAATTCTTCTTATCCCCTTCCTTCGAAAACCAAGGAAAAGAAAAGCCAATAAGATAATGCGAGCCTTTTCAGAAAGGATAATGTGAGCGATGGGGTCAGGGAAGGGGAAACGCTCCCGGCCTCATGACTCGTGGATTTCTTCCGCATGGAAAATGAAGGGAAACGGGCTTCTATCCCCGCGTGGGTGTGCTTCCAAAGAGCGCGGCAGATTAGCGCGGGGAAAGTCGCCCCGTGGTTTCTCGGCCTAGGGAAGTCACGGGGAACCCTTCGGGATCCCCTGCTGCCAAAGTAGCCCTTAGAGAGAAATAGAGTCGACCCAATTTATTCATGGGAGAAATCGGTCTTCAAAACCATGACTGCATGTATAATTAAAGGAAGCCTACTTGCACAAGATAATTACTGCTACTGGAATGCCACAACCAACAAAGCCAAAACCACATAATAAACACAATCGTCAGGTATTAGATAGGTACTAGTAGTAATTCCTAAAGGCTTGTCGTTTGGCTGCACTCTAGTCCACTCCAACACCCTCCAACACACGTGGATTGGGGTGGATTGAAGTACAACCAAACAAAGACTAATGAATCTGGCATATGCATGGCCGATGGCCCAAACGGCAAAAGCTCAAGAAGCACCGAGAGACATAGGAATTGGTACAACCACACAGCATCATGTGTAACCAAAATCATGAGCGGCGAGAAGAATGATTCTTCTCTAGGTACAGTTAATGGCCTATTACTAAAAGGTGCTATGGTGCAATCCTTACCAATCAAAAAAAAAAGATTGCAACCGAGTAGATAATAATCGAGTGTCATTACCTCAATGGTCCAAACCAAGAATCCGTTAAAAATGTTTTGAAATGGATATTGTTCTCTCTTTGATTAGGGATGCCATATAAAAGGAACTGGAGTTTGAAAAAGGAACGAAATAGTCAAATCAGAACTTCTAGAGGAACTAATTTTGAAAGGCATAACTTGGGCTCCTAGAATACGGGGTCCTTGGGACAATGTATTTGATTGTAGGGATAGGTATGCTAAATATGACTGGTGATTTCCTATGCGCTGGAGCGGGTCCAAACATATTAAAGAGAGGATGAGTTGTTAGCGAATGTTATTTATTCGAGCATAAATAAACCCCAAGGTCAGACTATACCTAATGCCGGTCTTTTCATGTTCTCTCATTGCCAATTGTACATAGTGCTGTCAAGGGGTGTGTCAAACAACAGCACGTAGCTTTTGGCCAAAACAAATAAAGCTATTGACCACAATGGAAAGAGGACAAAAGACATTGTTTACATGTATGTTGGATTAATCTCTATATCTTTTTATAAAGCTAATCTATATTGGCCCTTCTTAAAGATTTGAGATCTGATTTTGCTATGAAGGATCTTGGGACATTTGAGCTTCTTTCTAGAAATTTAACTGAATACAACTGAAGATGGTATTCATCTTTCTCAATCAAAATATGCTCTTAATATATTAAAGAAGATCGGGATGGTAGATTGTAAACCATGTTCGACACCCCTACCAGTGTGAGAACGCCTATCAAGACTTGATGGAGATCTGCTTGATTCAAACAGCAACACTAGATACAGGAGTGTAGTAGGTGCACTATAGTATCTTACTCTCACTCGTACTGATTTATCCTTTTCAGTTAATAAAGTATATCAATACCAACATATGTCAAGGGTACAATTGGAGTTGGAGTTAAGATAAATCGATCGAGTTCAACTTTAGTGAGT